AAGTCAAGTCTGGCTTACTTCCACAATTGTTGGGAACCCAGTGTACTTAGATCATTTAGTTGTTGTTTTTTGCCCTCTCATACATCTCTCATAAAGGCCTGAATTGAGGATAGCTTTTTTAGAAGCTAATCCCACATTACATTGACTTGCCAAATCAAGCTTTCTGTTGCTTGGCCAGTTAAGCCGCAAACGCTTGTACTTTGTTTTGAGTTTGCAACAGTTGCCAGCAATTCCATTTTTTCCCATAGGGTAGCTATTATGGGAAATGGATGTACTGAAAGCTACAAATGAAATTTGCCTGTTACAATAAAAATAAAACTGATGGAACAAATGTTGCTTTTTATTTGCATCAGCTAGTGAAAAGATTGTAAACAAAGTCCTTTAGTTACGCCAATTGATGGAAAGTCTGTGGAAATTGAGGTTTGTTTGGTTTGAAGAAGAGAAATGTTATCTTCCTCAGGAGTGGTCAACCAGCCAAAATCACACCAAGAGCAAGATGTGCAATATTTCCAGAGGTCTGAAAGAAGCTCTCTGAGCCTCCCAAAGGGCTCTCTTGCATTGGTGAATGTCATGACTTTCCAACCCCTGCCCCTCCCAAAAGACTGCTGCCCAACTACAGTTTGTAAAAGACTATGAGGATAAGCCAGAATGTACTACGGACAGATGAGACAAAAATAGAACTTTTGGCTTAAGTGAAAAGCGTTATATTTGGCAAGAGGCAATCACCACATTCCAGCATAAGAACCTTATCCCATTTGTGAAACACGATGGTTTGGGTCTGTTTTGCTCCCTCTGGACCAGAGTAGCTTACATCATTGATGGAAGCATGAATTTTGAATTGCACCAGCAAATTCTACTGGAAAATGTCAGGGTATCTGTCTGTGAACTGAAGCTCAAGATAGAGTGAATTACAGGTTGTTCTCAACTTATGACCATAATAGAACTCAAAATTTCTGTTATTAAGAGAGACATTTGTTAAGTGAGTTTTGTCCCATTTTACAACCTTTCTGGCCACAGTTGTTGTGAATCACTGCAGTTGATAAGTTAGTAACTTCGTTGGTAAGTGAATCTGGCTTCCCCATTGACTTTGCTTGTCAGAAGGCTGCAAAAGGTGATCACATGACCTTGGGGCACAGCAATGGTCATAAGTATGAACCAGTTGCCAAGCATCTGAATTTTGATCACATGATCATGGGGATGCTAGAAAGGTCATAACTCTGAAAAATGGTCATAAGCAGGGGTAGGATTCTACCTGGTCAAACCAGTTCTATATAACCAGTTGTTATGATTCTGTCCAGTTTGGAGAACTGGCAAATCGTGACCCTGGCTGGCCCCTCCCCTCCCCATCCACTCACTCCTTATCTGGCATGCGCACCATCAAACTTGCCTGCTAGGTTGCTATTTTTCCTTTTTTCCCCCGACCATCAGCTGTTCTTCTTTGTCAGGAGATTTAGATTATGTAGAAAGCAGGAAACTGTTGCATTTCTTGCTTTTTATCTAATCTAAAAGCAGAGCTGAACCTTCCTTAGGACAAAAGCTTCTATTTTTCAGTGCAGACTCAGGTAGCAGATTGCAGAAAAGGTAGATCTCTGAGTGAATGTGTGATTCTGTGAGCAACTCAATCTGCCTGCCTGCTTTGCCTGCTTTGGGGTAAAAGCTGCTCCTTTTTTTCATAAAAAAATTAATATTATTATATAAATATTTATAATATTTACATACAAGCCACGCCCAGCCACGCCCAGCCATGCCCAGTCAGCAAGCCATGCCCACCCAGTCACATGACCGCCAAGCCATGGTCACAAATTAGACCATGCCCACAGAACTGGTTGTTAAGAAATCTGAATCCCGCCCCTGGTCATAAGTCACTTTTTCCAGTACCGTTGTAACTTTGAACAATCACTAAATGACCTGTTGTAAGTCGAGAACTACCTGTATATAGCAAGGTATTGACCTTCCTCCAAATAAAAGTGGCACCACCAAAAAATGGATCCATCAGCATCCCTGAGCTGAAGCTGGTCTATAAGGAAGAACAGGCCAAAATGCCTCCAAACCAAAGTGCAGGACTGATCAACAGTTATTGGAAATGTTCAGTTGCAGTTATTGCTCCCCAGGGAGACACATCAGCATGGGTTCACATGCTTTTGCCACGCACAAATATATAGCGTTGAATTATTTTTCTCAGTCAATTGATGAACAATGTAATGTTTCGGACTCATTTGTGTAATTGGATTTGCTTTATCTAGTTTTAGGACTTGTGTGGAGAACAGATCATATTTTTAATCATGTTTATGGAAAAATGCTGAACATTCAAAAGGGTTCACCATTTTTTAATTATTGCTGTATATAGCTAAGAATTCCCTAGGTAAGGAAAAAAAGAAAAAAAGAAACACGCTTCCTCCCTTTGTTTCACCTGAAATACAAGATTTGGCCTATAAGAACTACATCTCTCCTTCCCTGCCCTGAAAATATGCAGGTGTAATGCGTCTTCATGTGCATCAATAAAACATTTCCTTGCTATCTAATCAGCACTATTTCCTATGATGTTTATTATGGCATGGTTTCCTCAATAACCTCAACAGCTGCAGGCTGGGCTGTGACGTCAATCTTTAAATGATTAAGTTCAAGCTGTCTTCCAATGAAAGCTAATCAGCTGCTTGTTATAATTTCAGTTCAAATATAAAACAAATATGCAAGGTTTCTTTCAACAACGAATTGTCTATTTGACCCAATAGTTATGAAGAAAGACTTCCATATGATTATCATTGTAACCTCCATTAAAATATGTTCTAATCAATTATTTATATTTTCTTACAATAGCCAAGATATGTCAATATTGGTTAATTTGACCCTGTCTTGTGTGAATCCTGCATGACTTCATGGCCCTAACTTTCTACTTGTCTTATAACACTGGTGATGTGCTTTTCTGTTTTCTTGCAACATGTTACCTTCCCTTCCTCAGCTGCTTTCTGCATGAACAACAATACAACAACAATAAATTTTATTGACTAGTTGTCTGGCTATATAAAAAAAATCTATTAAACCAGGTCAGAGAAAACAGCATAATTAATAGTTCTGCAGTCAGTCTGTTCTAACTAGTTTATCTTCTTCAAAATGGCCTTTGATATAAAAATAGAATAGAATAGAATAGAATAGAATAGAATAGAATAGAATAGAATAGAATAGAATAGAATAGAATA